ATGTCAAAGAGGTATGAATACAAATGCAAGATCTGCATGTCCATACATATATGCACTTAGTTTTCTTGCAGGAAATTACTCACTATATTGTCATAGTTTGTCTACAGGAATCTGGTATGGGCTATATAGTGAATATTTAAATTTCATAAAATCTTTTAACATATTTTTTTATATTTTTGTCCAGCAGATCCATTGCAATGGCATTGAAAATATAATGCTTTTTGGTTATCTTTTAAGAAGGATGAGCAAGTATGAGGGGTTGATAACATTCTGAAAAAGCTGCCAGAAAATACGGAACTTTGTCAGTGCTCTCCCAACCACTTATGGAGACTGTTCCATTCTACTGTAGGTCTAGTGTAATTATTTGCCCTGGTACCCTCATCCAAGGCCACATCCTTTCTCATATTTTGCATAGGTACATATTCAGACCCTTTTTCACTGCTAACCAAGTATTTATTTTAGCAAGAGTCTTAGCATATACCTTTCTTAAAATACTTTGTCAGAAATTACTAGCATTTGCTTTGCCGTAAGGGAAAAAAAGATGAACGCTTTTATTGAGTCTCGCTTACACTACACTCTTGAAGGTTGTAATAGCTTGGATTTATGTTCTTTTAAAGTTGAAATAAATATCTTCTGGCAAATGTCTTGCTATCAATGGGTCTATATTTACATAAAATGGCTCCTTTGCATCTCAGAGAAACCTCAGAACAGATATTCATTATTTTTGAATGTCACAAACTTAAGCAAAGCTGAAAATAAACTAAGAAAGTGACTCATGGCTGTATGTTTTTCCCTTTATAAATGTGAGCCAATTGATTAATGTTCAATATCACTAGAGGTAGCAGTTCTTTGAAATCTAACTAATCAGGAAAACTTCGTTCCTGTAAAATTTAAACTGTTCAGTTAGAATATTCTTAATCTTGAAATTCCCTTTTTTTATAAACATGTATATAAGTCACACTTTAAAAAGTAAATGGGCTTTGCCTGTCTTCTAAACTGTTTATATGGTGGGCTGCTTGAAGTTCTCTCAATGGAAAGCATGTATTTTAAGTTATATGTTAAGATGGTCTTTCTAAAGAAAAACTATGAAGGATTAGGAATTTAATTTTATTTTTCTATTTTTTCTTAAGGTCATCGCTAGAATTGTAGATGGAAGTAAATTTGATGAATTCAAAGCCTTGTATGGGGATACTTTAATTACAGGTATTTAGAAATATATCATAATTATTCTGTATATGTTTCCAGCAGTTTTATAGTTGGATTCATTCTGTTTGGCTCACCCATTGATATTTTTAATAACGTTTTCTTCAAAAGAATAGCAGTTTCTGTTACCAAGAGAAAACGTTACCTTTATATGGTATGGTAAAATAAATACATGTGAAAATTTACAAATTTATCTTTCTCCTTCAGGATTTGCAAGAATATTTGGTTATCCTGTAGGAATTGTTGGAAACAATGGAGTTCTTTTCTCAGAGTCAGCAAAAAAGGTAAAAAAAATAGTTTATTAGCTTCTTTGCCATTGATAAACAAAACTTCTGGTGGACAACTTGCTCTTGAAATGAGGAACTTTTTTAAGTAATGAAAGTGGAATGGCCCCACGTTTTTAATGTATGCATGAAATAGCTTAATAAGCTGCAAAAATAATGTACGCTATTTTAGAAACAGTGTTCTGTAGATTTTTCTGATGTGAAGTAAATAGGTTAATAAGAAAATACAGTTAGAAAAATAGCATTTGAATGTGTGTGACTACAGCGTAGTTGGAATAAGTATATTCTCAATATTACAAGAGAAGTCCATGCTGATTGCATAAAATACCCTATCAGTTAACTAATTCCTAACCTCTGAACTGTGAAGTACTACAATAAAGCACATCATTGTTTTTGTAATAACTGGAAAATTTCAAACCTGGATTCCAGTACTCAGTTCATTGGTTTACGAGAGATTTAATTTTCATACTTTGCTGCAGCAGATCCTGGCTTAGACTAATGAGTGAAAATATGTGCAGCCTCATAAAATCTCTGAATTAAAATACCTGGTTTGTGAATTAAAGGGCATCTTTGATGGAATATTGTGATTGCGTTACAGTTAACAGTGCTTTACAGCTTGGGATTGGGGGATTGGTGGTGGTAAAGGGTTTCTGGGTATGTGAGAGTGGTTACTTACCTTGTTCTATGTTGTTTGGCTGAATTCTTTATTTTTTTGAGAAACTACTGTCAGTTTAATTTTTTGTAATAGCAATTATATATGGTAGTTTTGTTCTAGCAGGTCTTTCAAACCAATGGTGAGGAAATGAGTATTGAAAATCTAGGAAAAAGGAAGCCTTGATGAGAGAGATTTGGAGAAAGGAAGTAATTTTACTTGATTTATTGCTGTAATAAAATAATGCGTTTGTTTTAACACAGTTACTTCCAGGTTGAAAATAATTCTTCCGTATTTCTAATACTTTCAGTATTTTTCTGAAAATGTAGTGCTGCAACTTTTTTCTTCATACCAATGAAAAAAAGTGTAAGGAATTTTCCTCTGCTGACTTTTGCTGGCATATCAGTACTGTAAGAGAAGATGGTCTAGTTTCACTTGCTTCAATTCTAGGGAGACTTTTGTTGATGATGTTGCTTCTATAAGCATAGTAATCTAACAATATTCCTTTTTTCTCCTTTTCCATTTTTGTAATGAGTTGTGACACATCTTTTTCACATTATGATCACTATGCTTTTTGAGTGCTTCTCTGAAAAATCTAGCTAAAGATGATGCTGTCTTTTTCTGTCTTTTTTTTGTTTCATAGATTTTGACAGTTTTGTATTTGTGAAGAGGTTAGAGGTTTTTTAGTTGCTGTGCTACATATCTTTTTTTTTTTTTTTTTTTTTTTTTTTTTTACACCAGCAGTGTGTAAATAACCTGAGGAACTTTATTGATTTAGATTATTTCCAGTTGAAACAGAAGCTTGGAATCTACTATTTGTATCTTTTCTAGGAAAATGGCCTTTTCCTAGAAAATGGGGAGAGGGCATCTGCCCTGAGAAAAAGGAAGGAGTGTTATAGCAATTGGCAGGGCCATGAGCAAATAGTGTATGTGGGCCTTTCCCAATTTCGGACAATAATTTTCTTTTGTATAGGAAATTGAGAGATACTTCCTTCTGATTAGCTGTCTTAATTGCCATGACACAGTCTTAGAAAACTCAATGTCAGATGCCACACTGTGAAGCTGTCTGTGGTTAAATGCATAGTGCCTGAGTCATAACAGTTGAGCTTTATAGTATCAGCAGTTATGCTTTTTAAGGATATTATTTTTCTTTACCCCTGGGCTCACATGTTTTTGGCATTTTCTTACTTCTAGAGTGAATGCATGTTTTGCAGTTGACTTTGGATGAAGCAGAAGTAGTACAGCACTTCACGATGCAAACACTCCCATGGGCTTCAGTGGAAGACTTGTCACAGACTTCAGATTGCTGGTAGTGATTGCTTCATTGATGCAACTCTTAATGGCTTACTTTTTTTTTTCTTTTTCTTTCTTTTCTCTCCACAGGGTACACATTTTATCCAGTTGTGCTGCCAGAGAAATATTCCCATTGTGTTTTTGCAGAATATTACAGGTGAATAAGCTCAATATTTTGAAACTTCACTATGTTGTAGGCTTTGCTGTTAACTTTTGAGGCTATGGCTTTTAGACAGCATCTTGTGTGCTTTATTGTACCTACATCTCCAGCCTGTTCTGAAATCAGCCTGTCAGCAGCTGATGAAGGCCTTGCCTTATGATTTGTTCTTCATTTTTTTTCTGCATGTGCTATAAAGCACATAGTATGACATATAGCACAGTATAATAATACAAAGTTTAGTGAGCCTTTTTTTCATGTTGTATTTCTTTAGGTTTCATGGTTGGTAGAGAATATGAAGCTGGAGGGATAGCAAAAGATGGTGCCAAGATGGTAACTGCTGTAGCTTGTGCCAATGTACCTAAAATAACAGTGATCATCGGTGGTTCTTACGGAGCTGGGAACTATGGGATGTGTGGAAGAGCATATAGGTAAGTGTTACTTCACATTATGACAGGAGGTAAGACTTAATTTAAGAGAACATAACCTTGAAGTACCATTATGAAAAACTATCTAAACTCTTGCAGAACTTGGGCTATTTGAAAAACAAAACAGTTTTCAATTAATACGGTCATAAGTAACTAACAACCTGACTAACCTGTAGGGACCAGTAGGCTCATGGTTAACCTTGACTTAGGTGATGGAGGAGATGTTCTAACAGGTAAACGTGCTGACATGCTTTTCTCACATTTTAGTTCTTGGAGGAAAAATTGTACAGTCCTAAACAATCATTAGGCAGTATGGGCTGGTCCTTTATTCTGCATTCATATGAAGAGTACCTTTCACTTTAATGAGCCTGTTTCTGTAAATAATGTTTGCAGAACCCCTAAGGATTTATTTTTTTGACCCGTTGCACATGACTCACATAAACAAGTTCCCTGATATTATTGAAATTGTTGGTGATATTTTTAAAGAGAAAAAATTGGGGGGGGGAGTTGTTGAGATTAAGAGACTCAAGAAAGAGAGAAATAAATTTTTAAGGTGCTTGAATATATGAAATTAGCAGAATTTACACATTTTCAAACATAATGCTGCAAGCATGGAGGTACTTCTTTAAAAAACAATGTATTTTAAGATTGTCATGCATAAAAATGAATTCTTAGATGAGTGAGAATTAATTCTTTACCATTAAATAAGGCAATGTCTTATTTTAATATTTAATATGTATTTTTTTTAGTCCAAGATTTCTTTATGTCTGGCCAAATGCTCGCATATCGGTGATGGGAGGGGAACAAGCTGCAACTGTTCTAGCTACAATAGCTAAGGACCAAAAAGCAAGGGAGGGAAAACAGGTACATCTTTCTTCTTTCATTTGCAGTAATGTCATTATCATATCACTCTTTCACTGGAGCTGCTTACTTTGTGAGCTGGGAAGGAAGGTACAGAGTGAGATACCAATGAACTACTGTTCTCCCAATGCCACCTAGTGCATTGACAAACATGAAGCATTTGTGAGATGTTATTGTTTACATCTTCTAAATGTGAAGATCATCCATGAAATTTCTTGTCTTTGCTTAAAAAGAGTTGTTTCTCATATTATCATCTTTTTGTATTTTGTGCAGTGGATTATTAGTTCTGACCAAGATAAGCAGCCAGGGATCCTCCCTGGTTTGGGAGTTTGAGGAGGCATATGTGAGAACAATGGGAAAGCGTCTTTCCAATTATTTTTTAAGGAAGCCATTTTATAGAAAGGTGATCTTCAAATTATTCAGTGACGGAGAATTATGAAACTTAGAACAGCAGAAGTCTGCAGAAGTTTGGAAAAGGTTTTGACTCATTTCAACATTTCAATTGAAAATATTGGTATTTCATTAAATAATAATTTCTGGTTTCTCTGTACACTCTTTTCTGCTGTGGTTTTTTAAATTATCTTTATACTGGTGTCTTGGTCCCATAAGAATTGATTTTATTGTGATGTCTTAAAATTGCTAGTATTTATCATGAGCAGTTATTCAGAATAATGAAGCAGTATGTAGATGTTGTCTCAACAGTTCTTTTTTCTACACTTCACTAGGGCTTTCTGTGGATAGAATACATCCACCATCATCTCTCTCTGTCTTAATTTCCCAAATCCCTAAGATGGACAGGATGATACCCAGAAAAAAGTTTGAGAAACAAAATTGTAGTTAATGCCAGTAAAATGCGTTAGAAACTTGAAAATTTTCTGAATTACAGTGGTGACCACTGTGGATCATAGAGAAACTCAGTGTTAGAATAGCACAGACTTTTATTAAAAAAATCTTGCCAAAGGCAACTCAGAACAGGGTAGCTTCAGTACAGTACAGTAGCTTCAGTAATTTTTCAGATGCTAATCCCCAATTACTATTATACTCAGTCAAGTATATTTTTACTCTCTTTTTCCCACCCACCTCTTTTGAAAAGTGGTATTCTAATTTCCTTGTCAAATACGCTAAATTGATTATTGTATGTAAAAAGGGGAAGAACTTTGGTGAGATCATTTAGATAGTTTCTTAGAGTTTGATGCTGCCTGTAAAGCTCCGCTGTCATCGTGGAAGAAAATATTAAAGACTGTTTTATCTGTGTTTGTTTATTTGCCTGCTTTTTTAGTTATCTGAGGCAGATGAAGCAGCTTTGAAGGAGCCAATCATTAGGAGGTTCGAGGAGGAAGGAAACCCTTATTATTCCAGTGCAAGGTAACGTATAAATGACTTTTCCAAAACTTAATTGTAATCACAGGACATAACAATAACATCTAAATGTTGGTGTTGAAGAACAGCAGATCACAGCAATCTGGAAACAAAGATTGTGTTTGATGTCCAGGCTACAACACAACAAGCTTCAAATCAATGTTTTGTCTGTCTTGTCTCTGAGACTTTATAGTACATACTGTTTCAGAAGAAGGCTTGCACTTGCAGGAATTATTCTGCTGGTTCTGTAAGTAATGATACAGTAGCATGGAGTTTATATTCTAGATATTTTATTCTAGATAAGTTTTATATCATTCTCCCCAGTGTAGTATCTGGTCACCTTCCTAAAGCGTGCTGAATGTAATGGGCGGCTGCATGTGTGTTAGGAGGAATTCATTTTAGTGGGATTCTGCAAATAGAAGAAGTGAGTGGTAAAGGAGACATTTCAGGAAGACCTGAAGCCATTTGCAAATCTCAGATCACGATCTTGGTAGGTGAGTGTATTGGATGATAGCCTTTTGGACAGGCCATTAGCTGATGCAATAGCATATTCATGTTTATTGAGAAATCCTTTGCAGCATTTTGTGCTCAGGTTAATGAAATGTTAGTAAATGCTCAGGAACTGGCTAGGCTAATGAAGCAAGGTGACATCCTGGAGTGTTACCTCTGGAACCTAGCTTGGAAACTTTCTTGCCCTCTGATTGTTACTCTACATTAGTTTCATCCTGTTTGTACTAATCTTCCTGCACATTTTTCTGCTTGTGGTATCCAGAAGCTATTTTTCCACTGACTCTTAGCTGCTAATGATGGTAGAGGGTAGCATATAATAGTGGGGCTTTACTGTACCTCTGTGGCTTCTCATTTTGCAGAAAGACTATTACACAACTATGGAGTCTGCTGTATGTATTGTTTTGTGTAGATGAATTAGAATCACTGATCATTTTCTTACCTGCAAGCTGGCAAGTCTGGAAAGAAACTGAGTACAGAGTGGGTGGGATATGATAAATTTTGATGTGGGCAGAAATCATGTGAACAGGTGGGTACAAGGTACTCTGCCGGTGTCATAGAGATGCCAGTAAGAGAAGGAGTTTGGGAGCCTTTTTGTCTAACTTGAGACCTGCTTAATCACAAGTATGACAAATTTGATACAGCAGCAACAGCAGCAGCATAGCATCAGTGAGCTCCTTTATGAATTGTTTATCATGATCTGAAGGAAGATATAAAATCAATGGTAGCTTTTACTCTGTTTTCTGTTGGGATAGTGGAATGAACTTAACGGAAATAATCATACTTGGGGGTTCCATATTCATTTTAATGTTTAATCAGATGCGTGCCTTCATCAAATGGAAGCTCTTGCCATTTTGCCCTGGCTGGTGCTGTGATAAGTATTCTCAGTAGGATATGTACCACAAGCTTTGTGCTGTCATCTAGGAAGATTTCTGTGGTGCAGTCGTATAGCATGTGGGTCATGGATTTAGGGAGGGTTTTAGTCTCATCCCTGTTTGGTCTCTGCTTTTGGCAGAGGCCTATGTGGTAGTGTTGCAGAGAGTCATAGATATTCTTAACTTCTTGAGGCTTTGCGCATGTGTACAACCCCCACTGCTACTAAGCTACAGTTTATTTTGGATTTTGCATATAATCAGTGAGGATAGTATTGTGAAATCCTGAGTTGTTATTGACATGGACTTTCTGGTGGCACACTGGTTTTGATTTTTTTTTTTAAATCTTTTTAATCTATTTAAATTTCATAGGGGTTTCCCCAAAATTGAGAGGTGGTGTCAGCTGTTAAAAAATTTTGTCTTATCTCTTTTAATACCCCTTAAAGATCAAGCCTAGTACCTCTGTCACAAAACCTTGTGCCCTGAGGCATGAAGGAAAAACAAACACATGTTGTCATTTTTTATAACTGGATTTTAAGGAGAAGAATTTTCCACTGATACAATAACACTAAAAAAGTGAGTCAAACTGTCTGTATTTAAAATTGATCCCTATGATGGAGGAGAAGATGAATGGTTTGATTATTTTTTTATATTTGCTTTTTTTAATATGTTCACTGGAAACACAGTCATAGTCTCTTTGTACTCATGGTTGAAAATAATTGGATGTATTTAACATTCAGTATATTCAGTATATTAGTGATATAAAAACTTGTCCTCTCCCAAAAACCAACAGACCATTGTCAGTATTTACAATAAGTTGCTAATCTGCAAGAAGGGAGTTTTACACGTAAGATTAAGGTTAAAATTTTTAAAATTCTAAATTTTTAATAATGTCCAATGGTTTTTAGACATGAAACTTAAGTATTTAACACGAGCTTTGTGCTCTCTACTGAGCAACTTTTACCAGTTTATGTTTCCAGAACATCTGGCCATTTTGCCAAGTTAGATTGCAAATCCAGAAGCACCTCAATAAATAGCCTAAGTTTGCCTAGCCTAGGGGTTAGGAAGTGCTCTTAATGCTATGTGTCCTGTCCTTCATTTTAAAAAGCAGAATAGTTATGTACTTCTTATTTTGCCTGTAGCTTGGATAGGAAACTTAACATGCACAGATGTGAGCTGGCTGAGAAATAGCGTGGGCTTGGGTTGTGGTTGGGCTCATGTCATGCTGCACTCAAGCTAATAAGCCCAGCTGAGACATGAAGTCAAACATCAGAGCTGAAATCCCGCTGAGGTTCATCTGGCTAAAAGCAATGAAAGTGAAATACCCCTTTTCACTGAGGAGTGCTTGTGAGAACAGTGTGTGACTGGCTCAGGTCAAGACAGTCCAGGCTGATTTCTTTCTCTCTTCAGTCCATGTAGGCACAGTCTGCATTGTCTAGGAGTTCTTAATTGCTCTCTGCTGTCTTGTAGGGATAATTGGGTATATCAGTAGATACTCTCATGTCTTCTGCCCTGATTTCATGCCTTCCTGCCAGTATTATCATGCTTGTGCCTTGTTCCTTCACTTATTGCTAATTCCTAAGCAAGATCTCAAACCAATATCTCAAAAGTTTTCATTACTGTGGAGTAGGGTGCCCAAGCAGAAACAAAATGAAGTAGGATTACAGTTTTTGCCGCAAGTAATGTACCTGAGGGAGGGATTTAGCCACCTTGTACCTTGGAGCTAACCCATTTGTCAGTCAACATCAGCAGGTGCTTATTGGCAAGCATTCACCATCAGACAGGGAGAAGAAGTAACCTGTCCCTTTGCTTTAAAGGATGCTTCCTATCTGGTCCCAAGCATGGTAAAAAAACAGTTCACCATCAACCAGATGTCAGATGTTGAAACTGAATCTGAGCCTTGGTTTTGTCAGATGCTAACTAGATCCCTCCACCAAAAAGACCAACAAGAAAATGCCAACTAACAGCTTTGTATTACTGAGAGGAAAGAATGATAGATGGGCAGAAAAACTGCTGTCTGTATTGCAGCTCGGGTGCAGCCAGATTGGAGGCTCTCTCACGCTGTGCCGAAAGATAAGCCAGCGGGGAAGAAAAACAGGCTGGCTGAACAGAGAGCTTTGGTTGGATCTCAGAAAAAAGAGGAAAGTCTATGAGCTTTGGAAGAAGGGGCAGGCATCTCAGGAGGACTACAAGGATGTTGCGAGCTCATGCAGAGAGAAAATTACAAGGGCTAAAGCCCAAGTAGAACTTAAATTGCCCAGTTCTGTGAAAGATAATAAAAATGTTTCTATAAATATATTAACAGAAAAAGGAGAACCAAAGAGAATCTCCATCCTTTACTGGATGCAGGGGGAACCATAGTAAAAAAGGATGAGGATGAGGCTGAGGTACTTAATGCCTTCTTTGCCTCAGTCTTTAACAGTAAGGTCAGCTGTTGTCCAGGTACCCAGCCCCCTGAGCAAAAAGGCAGGGACGGGGAGCAGAACAGAGCTCCCATGATCCAAGATGAAATGGTTAGTGACCTGCTTGGCCACTTAGACATCCACAAGTCCAGGGGGCTAGATGGGGTCCACCCAAGGGTACTGAGGGAGTTGACAGATGTGTTCACCAAGCCCCTTTCCATCATCTATTAGCAGTCCTGGATGACTAGGGAAGTTCCACTTGACTGGAGGTTGGCAAATGTCATGCCCAGAGGGAGGATCTGAGGCACTCCAGGTTTGTCAGTCTGACCCCGGTGGTGGGGAAGGTCATGGAGCAGATCTTCTTGAGTGCCATCACACAGCACGTCCAGGACAACCAGAAGATCAGACCCAGTCAACATGGGTTTATGAAAGGCAGATCCTGCTTGACTAACCTGATCTCCTTCTATGACAAGGTGACCCACTTAGTGGATGAGGGAAAGGCTGTGGAGGTAGTGCATCTGGACTTTAGTAAAGCCTTGATACCATTGCACACAGCATTCTGCTTGAGAACCTGGCTGCCCATGGCCTGGGCAGGCATACTCTTTGCTGGGTAAACACCTGGCTGGATGGCCAGGCCCAAAGGGTGGTGGTGAATGGCTTTAAATCCAGCTGGAGGTCAGTCACAAGTAGTGTTCCCCAGGACTCAGTGTTAGGGCCAGTTCTGTTTAACATCTTTATCAATGACCTGGATGAGGGGATTGAGTGCACCCTCAGTAAGGTTGCAGTTGACAGCAAAGGTGGGAGTGTGGATCTGCTCGAGGGGAGGAGGGCTCTGCAGAGGGACCTGGACAGGCTGGGTTGATGGGCCAAGGCCAACTGTATGAGGTTTAACAAGGCCAAGTGCCGGGTCCTGCATTTGGTTCACAACCCCATGCAATGCTACAGGCTTGGGGAAGAGTGGCTGGAAAGCTGCTTGGCAGAGAGAGATCTGGGGGCCGGCTGACAGCCGGCTGAATATGAGCCAGCAGTGTGCCCAGTTGGCCAAGAGGGCCAATGACATCCTGGCTTGTATCAGGAATAGTGTGGTCAGCAGGACCAAAGAAGTCATCCTCCCTACTAGTGAGGTTGCACTTTGAATCCTGTGTTCAGTTTTGGGCCCCTCACTACAAGAAAGACATTGGGTTGCTAGAGCATGCCCAGAGAAAGGCAGCAAAGCTAGTGAGGGGTCTGGAGCACAAGTCTAATGAAGAGTGGCAGAGGGAGCTGGGGTTGTTTGGCCTAGAGAAGAGGAGGCTGAGGGGGGAAACTTTGTCACCCTCTATAACTCCCTGAAAGGAGGGTGTAAAGAGGTGGGTGTCAGTCTCTTCTGCCAAGTAACAAGTGATAGGACAAGAGGAAATGGCCTCAAGTTGCACCTGGGGAGGTTTAGATTGGATATTAGGAAAAATTCCTTCACTGAAAGGATTATCAGACACTGAAACAGGCTGTCCAGGGAAGTGGTTGAGTCACCGTCCCTGGAGGTGTTTAAAATACTGGTAGACAAGGTGCTTAGAGGCATGGTTTAGTAGTGGACACATACAGTTGGACTCGATGATCTTAAAGGTCTTTTCCAACCAACTGATTCTATGTCCTCTTCATAAGATGTGGGGACCAATCTGCCTCACCCCTAATGTCCATTGAGATTGATGTGACCCTTTCGGTTGACTTCATTAGGCTTTGAATCAATCTTTTAGCAGTAATAATAAGAGGGAAGGAAAATGCCCTCATGATCTTAAAATACAAGCAAATTTCCCTATTTACTCTGCTTATATAATTTTGCTTATAAATTATAACTTGTTATATGTACAGGATGTCAGTACTGTTCCCTGCAGTTGTATTTTCTAATCAAACTTTAATCAATTATTTGATTAGAACATTTCACATTGAGCAGTCTTAATTAATGGGAGTCATTAGGCAGCACCCTTCTTAATGAGTTATATTAATCTGCTTACAGGTTTCTAAAAGGATTTCAGCAGTTTGCATCTTAACAAATTACATGAGCATTTTACTTTTGGGGACTTCATTTCTTTTATTCACGGTGTTTCTGTTACAAATATTTTATGACTGTGTGATTCATGTTCTAGCACTGGGGTTTTAATAGATAGTTTAATTATTAATGTTACATCCCAGTAGAGAATGTAGTTTTCTTTAAACAAAGAGAAGCAGAAGCCAGGGGTGACCATATGAAACCAGCTTGACTTCTGTGCAACATAAAATCTTTGTGTTTGTCAATACAAGTTAATTGTGTCATTACAAAATAACAAATCTGCCATTAAAATGTGCTTCATGTTTGGAAGTGTTTATTACAGTAGTAGTCACCATGAAGTTGCAGTTTGGGAGGTATCTCATTGGTGATTCTTCTTGATTGAGTTCATCCCTGCCCTCCCCAGGCCCTTAGCAGATTTATTAAATGCTTTTAAGAAGTATGAATTCCTTCATTTCAGATTAAATGTGTTTCATTAATAAAAAGTTAATTGCAAGTGTTCTTTAAAAATGTTGGTATGTAGAGCAAACAAACTTGTAAGTCAGAAAAACCCAAGTTTGCTTAAAAATAGAAATTACTATATTTGAGATTGTTCTTACAGTTGGGTTTTTTTCACCATGCTAAGAAAACAAAGGGATTGCAGCTGATTTGACCTCACAAAACTACTTTGCTTTTCACTATTAATAGGGATCTTCTCCATCCTTTCAGCAGATTAATTTGACTATATTCATCAAAATTAAATCATGATCTCAAATAGAAGAAGAAGGAAAGAAAAGCATATGCATTAAACTTTGGTAAATGCGTTCTTCATGATGTTGAGACTATAGGAAATATTCTGTCTTGGCCATTCTATCCTACCTGTGAACAGGTATAACCACTATCTTGGGAGAGACAAGAGAATTCAGACAACTCTTTAAGTAAATCTCAGTAAAACCAAGGTCCTTTGGTTATTTTGAACAAAAGAGCTTCAGTTGGTTTTGCTGTATGGTAAAAAACACTTACTCTGAGTCTCTTTTCAATGGAATATTATTTAAATATGCCAAAATACTTTAATGAGTTAATTACTTACAATTTAAAGCTACAGTTAGAAAGGAGTTACTCACAGGAACCAGACTGCAGGATCTTATACCGTGCACTCTATTCAGAATATGATACAGACAATTCTTCTGTCTCTTCTGCAGCAAGATCTGCTGTTAGTACCACTTCCTGTGCAGATGCAAGCATGGCTGTTAGAATATTCCAATGCACAGCTTACTGGCCCACTAGAAAGGAGATACTCGCTGAGAATCCTAAATTAAGAACAGGTTAGGTAGAACTACAGTTTTCCTTATATTTGTAATTTGGGTTTATAGCATTTTTTTTTCTATTGAAAGAAGTCCTTTTTATCCAGACTTCTTTCTATGCTCTTGGGACCTGTCCGTCAGGTTAGTGAGTGCCACAAGCTACTGTGGTGTAAAATTTCTTTAATCAAGCATTTGTTTTCAGTCCCAGAAAAGAAACAGCATAATTTTGCCCAATTAACACCAAAGTCATCACTTCTCCAAACCCCTTTCTCCTTTTGTACATCAGCTTTGCTGTTGTGCCCTGTTTAGAGTAACAGTCTCCTCTACGTGGGGAGCTGCACCATGATAGATACATTTACAGTAGAACGTTCTTTCTGAGTTGGGTATCTTGTTCCTGCTCTCTCTGCCAGCTGGAGAACAGGCTCCTAAGCTGAGTCTGAACCCTCATGCCCCATCCTGTTACAGATGTCCTTTACTACAATTCCACTTCATGCATCCTGGGATAGATAAGTGTATTTGTTATAAAATAAAAAGCATTCGTTGTCAGTCTCTTAATATTTGTATCTGATTCGATTACTTTCACAGCAAATGGCGAAATAAAGCAAAGATGGAAAACACTCAGAAGTGTCTGCTGCTGCCTTGAGCTTATCAGCATTTGTTTGTGTACAGCTTTCAGTCCTTCTTTTGGGGGTGAGGTTGGCACATTTAGTATTCAGAGAAGAGTGCAAAATACATAATTTCCTGTCTAACAGATTTTTTTCAATTCATCTTCAAACAGTAGGAAATTTGCAGCTAGAAACTTTAGTTAGAAAGGAATTGCTATTCTTTCTCTTGGTAGAGTCAGTCTTAGCTCCCTACTCATGACCCTTTCTTGTATTTTTAAATTGTCCACAGATAAAAGAATTAAACATTACCCAACACTGAAGTCAGTTAAAAAAAGAATGCAAAATAAGTCTCTCTCTTGGGAAAGGTGGGATGGAGGAGGAGCATCACTGTCTTAATCAAATATACAGTGCATGTATTTTGCAGCCCCTGATTAATATGCATGTTTATTTAAGCAAGACTAGGTTGCAATGAGCAGTCCACTATCTTGTTTAAGTGTCTTGCTGGGGAGATAGTAGTTATACAATACTTACAGTTTTGTGGCCTGCGGGGAGTTTTGACATGGATTTTATTTTGGGTAGGATGGAGCTGTCATTGAAAACTGATGCCACAAGTACTTTAATTTTTGGATAATATTCAAGAGACTATTTACAAGTGTTTGTGATTTTGGGGACTTGGGAATGTGGTAATTGCTCATTCGTCATTTAATTGCCTTCAGGGCTGGGTTAAGTAGGCTATTATCTTACAGTTGTTTAGAAATGGACTTCAGAAAAATAAATACAACAAATAATGGAAATACTTGAAAGTTACTCTGGCTCTTTTAATGATGAAAGAATAAACACTTGTATCATCCTCACCTGGCAGCCGTAAAAAAAAAAAAAAAAATCCCAAATCTCATTTAAAGTGTGTAGACCTGACATTCTTCATTTATCCAAAATTTATACTTTATTCTAGAAGACAAATTTCACAGAGGAATACACACCAGTCCGTTGAATTGATGGTTAAGCTGAATTAACTCCATGGCTTCAAGTATAATTTTAGTATAACTGTCCCCAATTTCATGTGCTTGAAAATTTACCCGCTCTATATATTGTTTGATTTTTATTTTGTTTTTCCCCCCCTAGATTATGGGATGACGGAATTATTGATCCAGCTGACACAAGACTGGTTTTGGGCCTCAGTCTCAGTGCAGCATTAAATGCACCTACGAAGAAGACAGAATTTGGGGTTTTCAGGATGTAAACTTAAACATACGCTCATCAGAATTACCTCTGTATATTTTAATTGGGGCTGGAGAGCAAACTAACCACAATGTTAAGGTGATTAAAAAATAAAGATTTGTACAATGCTATTTTTAATGGAAATGTCGTAATTATTTGTTTTCACTGAGTAATGACCACACAGAGCTTCAGTGTTTTGATAGTGATTTGAGATTAGTCACTTAAAGTGCTTCTATAACACTGCATTGCATGAATAAACTGCAACTTCTAGCATTACATTTCATGTTTCACAAGAAACCATTGATGCTATATCTTACATAAATAAATCTGCAAGATAAGCTGCATATTTGGTGCTTATCAGCTCCTTTATTTCTTTGTATGTCTCCTACAGATGCAGAATATTTTTGAAGTCCACCAAAAAAAAATCCACATTTGCTAGGACATAATTTTTGCAAAAGAGAAGTGCTGCAAGGGCAGACAGGGAGTTCAACACAGCATGAAATTATAGATTTCATGCAGTTGTTGGCATTTTGGCCTTTCTCTGGCTTTGATCCGAAAAACATTGCTCATCTGTACAGTTCCCTGAAGTCAAAACAACAAGAGAATCTGATGGATGCTGTTTTCTGGAAGAGCTGGGGAGCGTATGCTCGTACCTGTCGCAGCTGCAGGTTGCTCAGAGCACTTCTGAGGACGGGGCTTGGCTGCAAAGGTGTTTCAACCTCTTGCTGCGAGATCCTTCTGGCAATTTTAGTTTCACGAACACAGAGCCTTCTCCCCGATTGGATCAATGCTTCACCCAGAGCACATGCCTGACTCCTGCCCTAATTGACTTTAGGGCTATTAAGATGCTGGAGTGCTTTGGTTAATCTTTTTTATTTATCATAGTTTGTTGCAGCGTAATGTTGTTCAAGAATTCAGTGTCCATCATTTCATTTGTTCTTTTTAGAAATATTGCACCTTGTAGAAACTAAATGCTTGGCATGTAGTGTGCCAAGAATAAGGAGGCAAATACTGTGCTAGCTGGGACTAGGAAGGTGATTTTATCTAGCTTTGCTCTACAGGTGCCCACATAACCATTGGCAGAAATATTCCTAACCAAGGATCAAATCCAAGAAGAGTTAATGTACATGGATGGAGGCCCTATCCTGTGCTGGCCTGTGTGGAGAAGAAAGATTGCCAATAGGAGTACTCATCCTGGGTAACATGCTAGCTGTAGTCTTCCTGGACTTGTGTGGCAGAGGAGCTCCCTGTGGACCCAGCAGGGGGAAGGAAGGTCTGCTAGCTGCTAGCCCTTTCAGTTGTGTCTCGGGAACATGCAAAAGTGACAGTGAAATAATTCTTTGGAATGGGGATTTTCAACGTAGAATACAGACAGCCCAGCATATGTTGCACTGTGGGGTCTTTGGTACACATCTACATGGCACTGGAAGACCAGTTTTCTGTCTCTCATTTTACTGAGAAGAAATCTATCCAAAACCTGGTGTGTTCTGCACCACTAGAGATATAACTTCTGTGGGTCTGCACACATGTAACCTCACTGTTGTGCTCGCGTGCATGTTCTTAGTATATTAAGTATATAGTTAGCAAAGTCATAGTTTAAAATACTGCAGTAAACGGCAGCTAGCCACAGAGCTGTGCCTTTGTGCCACTGATGCTTGTCCTTGTCTCACTACACAGATTTGTAAATGTGTTGGGCGTGGCCCCGTGATTTCTTTCTCCTGAAAGTACAAGTGACATTATTAATGGCTGCTGGACTTGTGAAATGCCTTTAAAAATGACCTGCTTTTCAATACACTTATATAAAATATAGCCAGGGAGAACAAAGGTTTCAGACCCTGAAACGATGGCTATTAATGGCTTCCAATAAAAAGAAATGTTCCATGTGTTCTCCTGTTGTGTAATCATTAGTTCAGGCACCTAATGCCTTTCTGCTCTGAATTATGGGGGTCACTTTCCCAGTCTGTTACTCTCAAAGGAGCACTGCCTTTTTCTGCTGAGAAAATTGGTAACTTCAAAATAATATTTTTGCTTTGAATACGTTCTGTCAATGAGACCGGTAATTAAATCATTCTGAGTTGGAGATAGTGACAGATAATCCTGGGATACAGATAATGGACGTAGATAGGTTTGGGAGGATTCATGCTTCTGAGAATGGTAACTCCCTGTCACTTGTTACCCCTGAAGGGACAGTTGTTCACAGTTACCAAAATCTTTTCTTCTGAATATGTCTCTGAACAAATAAGAATGTCAAAACACGTCTCTGAACAAATAAGAATGTTCTGCCTTAATAATACTTACCTTTGGAAACTTGTTAAACAAATTAAATTCATCAACATGGGCTCAGCATCCTGTCAGCATGTTCCGGTTAGGGGAGCGGGACCTTCACTGCAGACGAACGACTCAAGGAATCACTAGTGATTATCACTTCCCCACTGCACAGCAGACTACTTTGGAAGAGCTTTTGCAGGTTAACGTGCTGTGCTTCATACGTAGGTGCTGACTGTACACAATGCACGCTGTGTGTGACGGCACTGATGGCAGAGGCAACCTCTTGCCACCCAGAGGTTTGCCAAAAAAACCTTGTTCTCTGTGAACCCACCAGGACCGAGGAGTTGGACCACATGCTTGTATGGCATTTGGTGATGTTGCTAGATACGGGCTGTAGGACAAGAGGAAATGGCCTCAAGTTGTGCCAGGGGAGGTTTAGTTTGGGCATTAGGAAAAACTTCTTCACTGCGAGGGTTGTCAAGCATAGGAACAGGCTGCCCAGGGAAGTGGTGGAGTCCCCATCCCTGGGGGACGGGTATTTATAAGACGTGTAGATGAGGTACTTGGAGACATGGTTTAGTGGTGGACAGGTACGGTTGAACTCGATGATCTTAAAGGTCTTTTCCAACCTAAACGATTCAATGATTCTAGATTATATTTATGCTGTCTCAAAATAGTCACCCACAGCTCTTGCGTTGCCTGTGCTGTCAGGAATCTTACTCCCTTGCAGTGGCAGCTGCCTTTTATTTAGTTTTATTTAACGTGCACTCCATTACGTAGTCATTCTCACTTCTCATTGCCATTGCTCTATGAGTAGGGTCTCTTTAGGCTGTTTAATGAAAGGAAATGTTAAATAAACCTAAATAAAAGGTAGCTACCACTGCAAGGGCGTAAGATTCCTGATGGCAGAGGCAACATAAGAGCTGTGGGTGACTATTTCAAGACTTGTCCTATCTGCCTCTTGGTACGTGTCACCTATTCACTGTAGTATTGGAGCAGCTCACAACCATTAATCTCTTTACTTACTGGAAAGGATGATACTTAGGATGACAATGATTTTTCAGATGGAAGTTGAGAAACAGGGGAGATGGCTTTGCCATATCAAGCACACAAGCTGTGGTGCACCAGGACCTTGAACTCAATGCTTTAGGCTTCCAGGGGGCCTTTCTGCTCCTGTCTGGTCTTGCCTCAGGGATTGCTCTTCTCAGCTGTATGCCTCCCTCCTGCCTCAGAGCCAAGGGGTTACCTAGTTCCAGCTCTCTTTGGTAGCTGGGCATGGCCTATTTAGGAGACATCAACGCTTGAATACAAGGAGTTGAAAAGGGCCGATACTGTGACCTTCAGGGTGTTTCCAAACGCCTCTGAGGAAGGAAATGGAAAGCTGTGAATGAGGCGGGCTAAGCTGCTCATCATCTCCCCAGCAACTGTTGAAGTAACCACGGGTGCTTTTCAAATTACCTGGGCCGAGACGGTGAATTCAGGATGGATCATAAAAACCTACCTATTGCCATTTTCCTTTTTATTCTCATGGCATCTAGGAAGGTGCTGGGAACCACTGGGAGCTACAGCATGGTCACCAACCAAAATCGGTGGCAGTTTGTATAACAAACATTAAGGGCAGAGCTTCTGGTACACAATAGTTGTGAGGGTTGTGTGCCTGCTTCCAAGGCTGAAGTGAGATGTGACCAGTGCACAGCCTCTGCAATAGCTCTGCCTGCAGAAATGAAGAGGCTTTATAATTGTAATTTCTGAGAAGCCACTGGGTGCCTGTTCCCACCCTTCTTCCACCCATTTGGGGGTTAGTTTAATGGGGAGTTTGTAGCCTCGGTGTTTGTGTTGGCATCTGTGTATGTGCTGTTATTGTGAGAACCCATCTTTTATTTAGATGGCATTTTTCCAATGTTACTCATCAAAATTATTTGGTTTCTCCTGCTGAAACAGATGTTATCTTTCAAGTATGCCTCTGGACTCTATTATTGCTTCAAATGTGGCAGAACCCTAATTTGTCTTAGATTTTCCTTGCTGTTCCAGATTTCAGCGAAAGAAATGTCTTGATTCAGAAAACCAACAATGGTTTATTGTATTAACTTTTTTTTTAAACAGGGGTTTATAAATTAAGGCAATTCAACAAAGCAAAGCAAAAGCCCGCTGCTTTTCAGCAAAGCCTTAAAGCATCCACTTAAAGCCAGAAGTCCACTTTCATGGCTCTGATTCAGTAGAGCACTTGAACAAAAGCTTCACACTAATCTCTACGGTCTAGTAGTCATAAAATCCATCCGACTCTGTGTCTACGTCAAGCCAAAACCAGAACACATAAATGCATCAGAACTACTCAGTGGATAGTCCATTATTTTGACACCAGCGTCAACAGAAACCTCCATTATTTTCCCACTTTTAGAATTACATTCAATTAATTGATCATGATGGAAGACTGTGATTATGAAAAGCATATACCATGTACAACTTCAAAAATTGCCCATTTGATATACAGATATTAATGCACATTGGCTGTGTCCTGTTTGTACATCATCTGCAATAACATTCGTATGGAGAAAGCAAGTTAACTTTGAGAAGATTGAATTAATGCATCGCTACAACAGAGCTGTCCGTCTCGGAGGGCTGATAGCATTTTGTGTAGATTATCTGGAGCTGAGCTCTGTAGTGCCACAGGCTCCCCTAATTTCATAGCCAGCTGTCTTATGGCTGGCTACTGATGCTGTCAAAAAGCACCTGCCTTCTTGTAGCTGTAAACAGTGATTTTGCGCTTTTATACCGTGGCCCTGCTCTGCTCCTTGACATGGCAGCTTCTGATGCTCTTATTTAATATTCAGCTATACTGCATCCTAC